TTATTATTCACTTAGGCTTTTTGAAGGAAAGACCCTCTTTAATGGCTTCCACAGTAAAATAAATTAAATCCACTATTTAAATATAAGGAAGTAATTTATGATTGACTGTATGAACTGACCAGACCTTACAGGCAGTATAAAGATTAAGGTGTAAATAATGGAAAAAAATAGTAAAACTACTTTTAAAAAAATCTCAGATTTTATAGAAATCTTTTTTTAATAAAAAAATCTCAGATTTAAAGAAAACTAAAACAGTTTCTAAGTAATTTTTTTTTTCCTACTCTAATATCTCCTAAAGTTGTGTTTTTCATTTTCATGGGCCTCATGAAAAGGTGAAGTGCTTGAAGTGTACACATAGGAAGATGATGGTTTCTCCTGAAAGAGTGGAAGGATCATGGAATATCAAAATGTAATACTTCTCTGTAAAATGATTACATAAAACACTGGAATTTTCAACCCTTTTATCCTGAACCACTTAAAATTACTTGACAGCACATTTAGCCCATCATAAGACCAATGTTGAACTGCCTGTTAAGGATGAGAAAATTTGCAATATATTTTTTTTTTCCTACTCTAATATCTCCTAAAGTTGTGTTTTTCATTTTCATGGGCCTCATGAAAAGGTGAAGTGCTTGAAGTGTACACATGGGAAGGTGATGGTTTCTCCTGAAACAGTGGAAAGATCATGGAATATCAAAATGTAATACTTCTCTGTAAAATGATTACATAAAACACTAGAATTTTCAACCCTTTTATCCTGAAATTACTTAACATGTTTAGCCCTTCATAAGACCAATGTTGAACTGCCTGTTAAGGATGAGAAAATTTGCAATATCATCTCCTAATTCAATGCATTGGGCTGGACTCTGCTTCAATGGCAAGCCAATAACATATGCAAAAGTTCTGAGCCCTATGTGTCTTCTCTATGGGGACTTCTTAGCCATGAAATTTCAAAATCCTGTTAATTCTTAACAATTAAATACTTCTCAGGGTAAGTGACATTAATCTAGTTAAATCTTCTTAAAATGAACAACTTCAGCACACAAATTGAAATCACACCATGCCAGAATATTTCATAGCAGGGGAATGCTCCTGGTCACAACACAGGAGCCTGTGGAAAAGTGCCTTTTCAAAGGATCAAAAATAAATGTAGGTTTTCATTAATCATGCAACTCCACAGGTATTCCATTCCCAGGGGAGTTTAATTTATATTCCTGTAATCTATAACTGCCTGATATGGCCTACATTGGGTTAGCTTCTTCAGAGGATGACTTCCTGCTTTCTCCCAGCACTTCCTTAAAAAGCTAATTGCAGTATCCAGAAGGGGGTTTTTTTGCCATACTGTAACAAAATACTGGGATGGAAAAATTCTTATCCGTGTAAAATATACAGATTTATTTCACAAAATGTGATGTTTAAAAGTAAATGCAGATCTGCTTTTATTTAGCTATTGCCTTTGGCTGTATACAAAGATCAGATTTGGATTTTAATTTTGTTAGTGAGGTGAATTATTCCTTTCAAAATCATAACGCATGCTTGTGTCCTAACTTCTTTCATAGTAATAAATCAAAATATTGCAGGGAATAGAACACACTCTTCATACAGAGACTACAAGTCTCTACAAGATAAAGGAGAAACTAACCTAAAACATAAGCAGCCTTGTCTGAATAGAACAGTCATCATTTCCTAGCATGAACTGCTAGCAGGCCTTTAACAGACTGATAATTCATATTTCCCCAGCTAGGAAATTAGTGCAATGTTCTATTATTGGAAACTGTCATCACAGCATGTGGAATATCTTCGTACAAAATACCCATGTGAGGAGAGTACATCCCTCACCTTGCCAGGTGTAAACTGTTCTTGGTAGACTCCGTTGTGGGTTCATCCCTTTTGAATCAGTGTCAAAGTATTTCCATTGAGGTCAGAAACACTTTGAGGAGACAAACTGAATTTAATTTTAATTATGTCTAAGGAGAAAATCCAGTATTATTTTGTAGTTGTAAACACATAGATTAAGAGTGTTTAATGAATTAGAATAGCTGTGTAATAATTGCTATGAGTGTTTTCAGATTTATTTTGCACATAAGCATTATTTATAACTAATACTAAAGCAATGGGATCAGCATTTCACTTCATAATTTTTAAATGAAAATTAAGCAAAATAATAAGAAGAATTGCAAAATGTTTCACTTCATGGTTTTTTGTTTTTCAGTGATATACCTGCTGTGGATCAGTAAATTGTACTATGAAGAAAGTACTAGAATTTAGTGCAAAGCTTGAGCTGATGGCAAAAAAATTCATATTCATTTTTTTTCTGCTGTGAATGTATAACAGAAAACACTGTTTCATATTATTCACTTCTCTGAGTTGTTCAAATATCACCTTGGACGCTGTTACCTGTCAGGATTCTCATGAGGAGACAAATGGAGAGGATACATATCATATTTGTCACATAAACACAGAATCTTTATTTCTTTTCAGAAAACTCCATTTGTACTTGTCCAGATTGTTGCTTTGCCCTGAAATATTGCATAGTTATTTTCTTCTGAATGCAGTTTTTCTTAAAACTGTTTCAGAGGCACTTTTTACAGTTATGCTCTTAGCCACAAGAATAGTTAATCAAGGATTAGAAATATTTTACAGCAGAATTTGTACCTTTCAGAAAGTGGAATAGGAAGATGTAATGTTTAGCTCCACAGGTCATTTCACTCTGAGCACACAGGGTTCCTTTTCATGAAAATATTTTCATGAAAAGGTTTCGCCTGTATGCAAAACCTGAAGGCTCCCCCTTTCACTGCTTTTGCATTTCCATCTGCTGTTTAAGAGCCACAAAAAATAGTCACCAAGCACCTTGCTACTGCCTACTGTGGATATTTTTCATAGTGTCTGTAAGGTCAATAAGGGTGAAGTTCTAGTTCTAAACATGACACCTCAAAAATGGAAAACATTTATTTTATTGTATGCTGTCAGTCCACTTTTCTTGAGAGTCATTCTTTGATGGTTTGAGTAGGCAGATAGTATATTTTCCTACTAATTCCTTATATGTCTGTGAAAAAAAGTGCACATGAAAAAGACATGAAAAGTCTTTAGTGAAGGCTCTTTTTTTAGCTTTTATTATTTTGCATGCTGAAAATAGAGAAAAACAGGGTTATAAGCCACCAGAGAATATACAGAAAATGAATACAGTTTGAACAAATTGAAGATAATAATTTCTTCCTGATTTTATGTTATAGATTATCTAATTAGAAAAGGTCAGGGAAATTCAAGCAATTAGCTGTCTGGTTTTGTTGTGCGTGTACACAGTGATATTATTATATAAGGTCCAGTGAAAGCTGCTTTCTTCTGTGAGGAATATCACATAGTAACCTAATAAAAAAAAAGAGAAGCAAAAGTATGTTTTCTAACCAAGAAAATGATTGTTACTGCAGCAGAAAACATCTACCTCTTATGTAAGCTGCAGGGATCAGCAACAATACTGCTTAGAAGCCTTGAAAAGGAGACTGGGTATAACAGCTAGGATATCCTCCCAGAGGAAGGAAGAATGCAGATACCCTGAGCATTGCTGGATTATCAGTGATGAAGAGATATCGGGAGACTCCAATATGGTCAGAAGAATCCAAATTTATTGTGGAATATTTATGATTATATACAATTTTAGGAAGGCTAGTAATGTTTTGCTGTAATGATTCGATTAATCATGACAAACAAACTTATACATTTTAGAACATCTCTTCCTTGAAGAACTTGATATAGTTTTCTTTTCTGGTAAGTCAGTCTGATTTAATCTTCTTGCAATCTTGATTTAATCCTCAAAGTTCTGTTTGGTCTTGCCAAGGCATCCTGTTATCAAACCTCTGATGTTGATAAGGTCTAAGGTTGATAAGGTTTTGTGTGTCCAAAGCTGGATCAAGAGACAAAGCAATGGATGAGTAGGTAAAAAAAGTACTTCACTTGGTACAAACAAACCATATACAGATTGTCTTCTGTTTATCCCCCTGCAAAGGTACAAACATTTGTAACTGTGTTGCCTCTTTTAGCTATTGTAAATAAGTGTTTGTAGATGTATTTAGACTCTAACCTGATTTGGATAAAGTGGCATTTTTCATGTTAGAGAGTACAGTTTGTTCTTCATCCAAGGGAGTGGTGGATCTTTAAAACAGGCCCGTGGCACAAGCAGTCTCCACTCTATCCAACAGCATACCCTGTGAGAGCCAGGCAAAGCCATAGAGGGGCTCCACAAGGGACAAGGCAAGTGAAAGTGTCTTCTAGTGGCTCTTAGTGCCACTGAAACCTCCCTCACATTCATCAGAATGACCTGAGTGTCACAAGGAGAATGTCCCAGGGACTCCAAGCTGTGTTCCCAATGCACCTAAATTCAGCTATTACAATTTTTTAGCAATATAAATTTGGATTAGATTTATGTCTGATTTTTTCTATCATAGTAACAATCTAAATTCTCTGGAGGTAAATATTTCCTTACTTCTACATCCCATATGTACATGATATATAGCTTAGACACAACTTTCAGACTACTGAAAGTTAGAAATCTCATCTCAGAAAGGTCATAGTTATGGAACTAGATTAAAACAAGTTTCAGTTGCTTTGCTGTTCATCTATTGAACCCTTAAGTAATATTTTAAAGCTTATTACTGTGATCATGAAGTCTAACAATTAATACCTGAGACTTTCCTGTTATTGTTGAAGATGCATTTTAAACAAGACACAACTAAAAACATTTGTTAAATAAGAGAAAATAAACATAGAAAAACATACCAACACTCCACATATTTTCCCCCCACTTGTGAATTAAGGCATTGTCCATGGCACAATTCACTAATTAAAGACCTATGCACAGTTCTGACATTTCGCCCTTTCTCAATAGATCTGAAATTCACATTTCATGTACAACATCCTCAGCAAATAATAATATGAACAAAATAATATCAAACTGCCACTTGCTGAGATACAGATTTATTGTGTTGACACAATATAGTCTTATTTCATCATTAAGCATTAATAGTGTTATTTCATCCTCATTCATTAAGCATGTTTCCCTGTAATTACTGAAAGATACTATATCATCATGGAGCAGTTAGAAATGCTTTAACATTGAAGCACTTGAAGTGTGTTAAAAGAACTTTTGGAAAATGAAGAAGGATGTTTCCACATTTCTAATATATAAGATTATAGCAACTTATGATAAAATGCTGTTATATTTTATTCAGAGCAGGTGCACATTAATCATCAGTAATTTATAGTCTGCATGACTAATACAATCAGCCACAAAAAAGTAACATTTTATATATTCTCCCATTCAGCATTCATTTGCAACTTTATAATTATCAACTACTTTAATCAGAAATAAACTTCCTATAGAAAATGTTGGAGTCTATAAAATAGACATTTCTGTTTCATATTCTGAATATTAGTTAATGAGTTAGGATTTTCATTCATCATTTATTATATGAAAGGGCTATCAAACAATCTGTGGACTGTAACAGTTTCATTTCATGCCATGTTGGAGCTATAATTGTCCTAGTCTTCAATGGGATGAGAGTGGAACCTGGAGCCATGTGGGTGTGTCCAAGTTGTTATTCCACAGCATTCACTTCACCTCTGGGGGGGATGGAACTGAGGGATTCTCAGCTCTGGAAAAAAAGGCAGTGGCTTTGGCTCGAAGAAAAATACATGGTTCAGCAGTGAGAGAACACAACTGCTGCAGTCATGACCTTAACAGAGTTCCATTTCTAAGTTCATACGGATTTAGAAGCCAGTAGTTGGCCTGAGAGCTTCGGTTCATGGTGTAGGGATGGTCAATTTTAGTTCCTGAAATGAGTCATAAATTCCTTAGGGTGAATTTAAGGAAAATAATTCATTCAAGAGGATAAAAATTCAGCAATAGAACACAAAATACTTAAAATATTTACATTAAATTGTATTGTGATTCCTTATTTAAAGTACTGGCATTAAGATGCTATTTCCTTGTTGTAATATAAGTCAGATATAGAAATATTTAAAGGCTTTGACTTTATATACGTACATATCATCTTTCCCCCTTATATATTATAACAATGAACAGTAAAAGCACAAAACCTTACAGAAGAGGAATAGCATTCTTCATGAAAACTTTACAAAGTAGAAAAGTTGAAATAATCAACTTCCTTGAGGAGCTCAGTAAAGATTTGATCATGTCTGAGCTGTACAATCATCCAGTTATAAAGCCTTCCTCTTCTGTCCTCAACTTCTTTTCACTCCCAGTTTGTTTATGTGCTATGGTCAAATAGAGACAGAAGTAAACAAAATTTAGTTTATAATAGAGCAGTTTCGCTCTTTGGAGAGAAAAAATAACTGTGGAGAAATACAACAAATACATTGTCATGAAAAGTCTACATTTTCACATAAAAAAATAACTTGGCAACAGGAGACTTTCTGACCTGCACAATTCTCCATGAGAGTACAATGTTTCCACAGATTAATTTCTCTGTAACTTGTTACAAAGAAAAACATTGTATAAATGTGATCAGGTTCCTTTTGTGGTTTTGCTTGGTTTGGTATGTATTAAATTTTCTGCATAAAACTAACAAGGAAATCACAAGACAAGTGCTGAATCACCAGTCAAACACAGACAAGTGCCTTGCCTGACACATTCATCATGATCAACACCCATGTATTGGGCACAATTCCTTGAAGCAGAAAAAGTGCCTAGGGCTGCCACTACAAATGGGGGTGGAAAGCTGAACTGACTAACCTTTCAAAACATTTTAATTCCTAATATCTACTTGAAAACTAATTGTAGGATCTGTAAATCAATCAATCAAAAATAAATCGATTTCTCTTGATTCTGACCAGCCATTTTGTGGCTTGACTTTCAAAAAGCCAGTCTGCCTCCCCTTCAAAATCTCTCCCTATTCCTTAGAAATCTACTGAAGATTTAGGTACATCATGCATTTAAAATTAAAAAGACTGGGACAGAAAATGTGAGATCCTATTTGTTGTTACCAGGGCTAATGGGAGCTTGGACTTAGGAAGCCCTGTCCACAAAGCCACTTTCTTTACGTTGCCTGCTGTGACCAGGAGCCACAGATGGGTCTCTAAATGTGATCACAGCAGTGCTAAAAGGGACAACATGAATTTTGGTGGGAAAGGCTAAACCACATATGAGGTTACAGCACATCTGTGTCTGGATTCCTGTGCCTGTAGGTTCACTGGCCTGAGGAGAAAAACCTCTTTAAATAAATCCCAACGGAGTGATGCCACTAGAGGGAGAGCTGACCATATTTATCAACAATATCAAACTACCATGTGCGTCTCAGTGGTACCAGTGGACTGTTGAGCTAGGTAGGAGCAAAAATCCCAAACCCTTTCTATTCCAGACAAAGACTACCCCAATTTAAAAATGCTACAGTTACATGGGTGGGCTGGAATATGTCAATCATCTAGGAGAATAATGGAGATAAAAGTGAGGAGACTTTAAAGAACAAGCAGGCAAGACCAGTGTCATTCATTACACTCCAGGCAACGAATCTGTACATGTGTTCCTAAGAATCTCAGTAATGATGACTGGAGTTTCTGGGTAAAACATCACTGGTTTGATGACCAAACAAGACTATTTCTTTGTTTAATATTCCTCTGAGATGGAAAGGTGTTTTCTTCCTGCTAACCTACACATTCCTCAGAACAATTTAAACTCAAGACCTCTTTTCATCTCACAGCGTCTATGGAGAAGATTTTGTCTCTCTTGGTTAGCAACTTTTAAAGTTTCTAAGGATATCATCAGATCTCCCTCCTCTCAGTCTTCTCCTGTGTAAATTATTCTAATTTCTGCAACTGGTCATTACACATGACCATTTCCAGGTTCTGATCATTCTCCTTGTTCCTCAACTGAACATCTTCTCAATGATCCATACCTTTCTTAAACTGCATGCCTCTAAATGCAGCCAGAAACCTTTATAAGCACAATTCATTACTGTTACTAGGGTGTGCTTCTATATATTTTTCTAGTTAGACTTGCAGCTTGAATTTTAAAAAAATCAAAAATTCACTCCAGAAATGGTTACCCAAATTTTACTTTGCTCTTAATGGGAGTCTGATTTTGTAATGCAATTATAACTGCATATTAGGTAATTACTTCCAATTCCATCTCCAAGTCAAGACTGGAAAGTGTGGACCAATAATAAAAGAGATTATTCCAGATTCAAATCCAATGGGTATTTTTAAAAGCACATACTCCCCTCTCAATTTATGCACTTGTGTAAGAGATGTCAGGTTTTGTTTTCATCAGGTTTTCTGTGCTTACGATAATGTATTCAGCAACTGTGTCAAAAGGCTCCTTACAGTTTGGTATTGTTTTAATTGCTTCTCCTTTATGCAAAAGGTCTATTGGTTTTGGAAGAAAGGTACATTGGTGTAATCTAGCTATTTCCTGACAAGTTCATTGTTTTATTTCCTAGGTGCTCAACAATGTTTTATTCCAACATTCTTCTTCTAGGAATTGACACCAGGTTGAGCATTCCTCATATTTTTAGCATTGATTTTTTGAAAAGACAATGATATCATAAATTGGAGTGGCTATTAGTTAGATGGAGCCATTATTCTCTAGATTATTATTTTCCTATATCCATGAGTGTTTTTAACTCTGTTTTTGAAAGTCTGCCTGCCTGATTAGAGAAAAACATCCTAGGCAGGCAAATTCTTTTTGCATTTCCTTTGGGTACGTGCCTGAGGAATATCTCTTGTTATTACTATTTTGCAGGTCAAAAGCTGGTGGTAAAAGGGGAGTAGTCCCACTCTGACAATGAAAACTACAGCAATCAGCAACTGATTGTTGATTTTAGGGAACAGTTGACACTTGAGTGCCATGGGAAGCAGGAGTTTGCTTGGATTGGAACAACTGACTGAAGGAAAAACTCTTGATGGTGGAGGAAATTCACCAGGAAAGGAAAAAAGACTACAGTTCCTAATGAAGAAAGAATGATTAAATAGCCACTGAGTCTGCTTAAGGCCACTGAGAATGCTTAAGGCCACTGAGAATTAGCACTGAGATTTGCAGGAAAATGTCCAATGATTTAGAAAAGAGTGATGAGAAGTTGTAGATTTTTTGATACCTAGAATTAAAATCATACTTGCTTCCTAACCAGCAGTCCTACTGTACACACTTCTAAAATAACTTGATCATGGTGGGTGAAAGACACTAATACTCAATCAAAACCAGACAAATAAGCTATGCCAATGTCAAATTTCTGCTAAAGCCTCAACAGGCCAACTGTTATTTCTGCTATTCCGAATGGCAGAAATCTGTGAGTTATCTAGCACTTCTAAGAAAAAAAATCCACTTTTTTCATTTGCACATTTTTCATGCTTTTCAAATTTGTTCTTTTTAAAAATTATTTTAAGAATAACAGAGTATGTCAGTTCATCATTCATTCTCTGTAAGCCATTTTTAACATCAAGAGTCATATTTTAATATAGTATTCTGAAAAGCTTTCCTGGAAAGGGACTAGTTTATTATTTAAGCATGTTTTCTTTCTTTGATTTTTACATTTACAAAAATCATTATTGTAGAATTCTTCTCTTTGTATTGGTTGAAATCAATTATAAAATCATAAAAATGCTTTTTCTTCTGAACATGATTCCCCAGGAATGATGACATTTAAGAATTTTGGAAGGTGAGTAATAATCTCTTTTTCATTTTGGCTATGCAAGAATGCCAAAATATCCTGAAAAAAAGCTCAGAATATTTTGTCTCAGCCAAAGCCAAATCAGAATCTTGTCTGATTTAACCTGAAACTAGCAGAAACATTAAACTAAAGCTTATCCAAAGCAAATCCTTTATTTGCATCTTTTTCCTATTAAAACCCAAGACTGGTCAGAACAATTCTCGACTCCTGTTACTATTGTTTCAGGGGATTTTGATCATGCCTTCTGTAATCTTATTCCACAAAAGCAAGAGTTGATAGTGTTTATATGCATTTGAAATTTCATGTTTTATTTATGTTATCTGTGCATTATACTTCTGGACTACTGTGATATCAACCCTTGGGAAAATTAAACCTTTTTGCTGAATGGACTCCAAAACAGGTTTGGAAAGCACTACCACAATCCTTGTTTACTGAAATATCACCCTTATTACTTTTTTTTCCACTTACTAGTAGGACCAGTGATAGATTTGGCTGAATATAGAGCAAGGATTTCAATTTCTAATTTAAAGAATGATAAACAAGGGAAAGATAAACAGCTCTGCGGGAGTATGAGGTAACATGTTTTTGCCATTTTTGACATTAGTTTCACCATTGCCAATATGGTGAACAGAGGGGCTCAGACAATAGTCAGCAAGGAACAGATGGAGGAAACAGCAGCACAGTATATAAAGCAGTTTAGAAGATTATTACAAAAAGTCTAAGGGTCTGCAGCGTAGTATTGGGGAGTGGGGAAAAAGACATGGAGAGGGAACCAACAGGCTCTTTGAATTGCTCACCAGGTGGTTAACATTACCTGCATATGTGATGTGAGAGTTATTGCACTTGAGGAAAAACTGATGCATGCCTGGCAAGAGTTGTTGGCAACAGGAATGTCTGCACAGGCTTTTCTGACCCACTCATGTGCCAGCAGAAAGTTTTCAGTCATGCCTTTCTGCAGAGCTTTGTGCCAGTGAGCTCACAGGAGGTGACACTTCCCTGCAGGTACCCAAAATGCAAGATTGTGGTCGACAGCTCCACTCATAAAAGGGGCTCCCTCTCACTGAAAGTAATGAGTGTTGTGTCACTTCATCCCCTTGGGATTTAAACACTTGCAGGAGAGAACCACTTACAAATGTGGTCATGTTCAACTACTGCTTTGCAGTTCCATAAGATGTCATTTTAGAATCAAAGAAAGTCACAGAAAACTTTGTTTAAACACAAAAACTAGATTGGTCCTCTCAGTCAATGTCTCCAAGACTCAATATACAGAATTACAAAAGAATAAATATTATAGAAACTAGGATGCTAGTCCAGCAATTCTAATAAAAAGAACCTTTTTATAATAAAAACCACACCATTCTCTACAGATCCATAGTGTTTGTTTTACTGGGACCTTTTCCAGCAGTTTGGAAGAAGATTGTCTGCTCCAAAATTTTAGTTGGAATTTTATTCCCAATTCTAACTCCCATAAAAATTCTACAGCTTATAGGCCCATCTTCCTATCATTGCAAGTTCTTTAAAGAAATCATAAATAATATGAAAACCCCTTTGTTTTTAAAATTAGAGGTTCCTTTAAACTCTCTGTGGTTTTCTTATACTCACCATCACATTTCTAGAGATGGAGAATTTTCTTCAAAAGCCTTCCCTTGTGTTTAGGGCTCCTCTATAAATACTGATGCTCTGGCTCATTTGCTGTTTAAAAAAAAAAAGAAAATTGGCAGATGCTAATTTGCTAATTCTTCCAATTAACCATTATTCAGATACTGGCAGGTGGTAACAATAAAAGTAATTAGGGGGAAGGATCCACACACTGTAACGAAATATTCCAGAGGAGTTTTTTCACCTGTAGTCATGTTAAAGTAATTATTTCTTCCTGTTTCTGACCCATAAAATAGAGTAACTATTTGTACTTTGACAATAAAATAAATAGCTGTTGAATAGGTTGGGGGAAAATCTCAGGGCTGCCTCACCACTAGACAGGACACCACAGTTGTTGAATCACGAAATAGAAAAATACAAAATAATACCTTGCTTAATAACGTTATTGCTTTCACTGATGAAGAATAATTTATTATTTGATTGTCAATTGTTGTAAGCAAGTTTTTAAACCACAAACATAAAATCTAGTCAAATGAACATTAGTTAAAGATTTCTTCCTGTATTTGTGATGTAAAGGAACCTGGCCTTGACATTTGCCATCACAAAAATGACAAGAGGCATGGTGTATATAAATTACAGTTTGGAAGGTTTCTGTGTTGTGAAAAGAGATTGTAAAAGGCAAACTCAATATCTAACATGTTTTAAAATTTAAAGTGAGTAACAGAAAATACATTGTCTTACTTATCCAGTATCAAAGAAGATTAGGTAATTTTCTTATACGGTACCTTTCTTTCAGAAAAAAAGTGTGTTGTTAGTGATTTTTATAATAATAAAACATGATAACAAACAAATTATTCATAATGTGATTTTACACAAGACAAAAGGAATAGAATCTCCTTCTTTCATGTGTTAATTAATTAATTAACTGAGTTAATTGCATCAACAGCCTTTGAAGTCTCACATAAGATCATCTGTGAGTGATAAAACAGTGCTGAATACAAATGCAGAAAAGTCTTGTTAAATTATCTAGTAGCACTTGGAGTATGCATCAGCCTGAGGAAACCAACTCAGTTAAAACAAATTCATTGTTTCCTCAAAGGTCTCTTTCATAGATTCTAAGCATATTTAGGATAGAGACTCTGACAAAATTTGCAAATTCAAGATAATTAATGGAATAAAAAAGTTCAACTTAATTTAAAGCCCTAAAGATTTTTTGTATTTGTTTGCTTTATGTGGTTTTCTTTGGCTTAGGGTATTTTTTGTAATTTTTTAAGAGAAACAAAGGGCAAATTTTCATGGGGTTTGCCTTAGCCTGTAGCTTTCTGATAAAGACCCCCACAGAATACAACAGCACATAGTTCTTCATGAACAGGCAGGAAATCCCTGTTCGTCAGACAGAACAACTGAATTCTTTCAGGTGCTGTGTTGCTACTAACTCTGTTTATTAAACTTTTACAAAAATCTCTGTATTGAACTCCAAAGAATATACCACGGAATAGCCCTAACAGCAGAAATTAATGGAGGATCTTAAGTGATTCTTCAGATTCTTACCTGAGAGACAATAAATTTGAGTTTAAATCAAGCACATTCATCATTCAGGCCAGGCATCTGAATCATGACCTCACACAAGGATATTACTATTCATAAATAAAAACGTTACTCAAGCTAAAATACCTTTCAGCCAAACAGGTAGAAAAGTTAAGTTTAAGACTTTTGACAGGAAATTTTGAAATATTTTTAAAGTGATCAGGTCACCCAATTAACATCTCTACTTTATTAGAGGCGTTCTGTCTGACTAAGTGCACAGGATGTCAAAGAATTTATTTATTGCAGGCTAACAAGTACTTGAATACACATATGGAACCTAGAAGTCTGAAAGAAAAAAAAAACAACTTGGGAATTTATATATGCCAGTTAAATGAATTGTAGCCCTTGTTCTCATAATCCTGGTCATTGTACATGTACAAATTATGAATCACATATTTTATTTCCTTGTGACTTGGAAGAATGCCATTTTTCCATTGAAGTCAGTTTCTTCCCAGTTCCTACTTTGGCTATTTGGATAGAAGGAAAGCTTGCTGCAATTAAAAAAATGTTTCATTTAGTGTTCTGCACAGGAAACTTCTTGCAGGGTCTGAAATACTGAAAAACTCTTAACTAAGTACTTAAAAGTATTAATTTTGAGAAACTTGAGCATGTGTACATAATCCAAAAGAATGTTGAACAGTATGTTCAGCATTTTTTAAAACCACTGATGTGAAGGATCAAGGTGCCTTTCAGATGGACTTGCTGCTTATTCCCTGTAACCATACTACTCGCTAAGTCCTATTCTTACAAAACACTGTATCTCTCTCATTATTTTTATTAGAAAATAGTTTTGGAACCTCACTGCAGTGATAACTTGTTAGTGTTGTCTAGTTTTCAGGCTAAAGTAATTCTCATGGGTTTCCATATACTTCTTTCAGTGCCTTTTTCACCTTCTTCCACAAATGTATTTTTAGAAAAATTAAATTTGGTAAGGATACAGACAAACAAGAAAATTCAGATCTCTCCCCTGCTTCACACTAATTACACATTCTCACATTTATACCAAGCCAAGTTCAACTTTCTTGAATGTCACTGGCCATAATATTGCAAAGCAATTCAGAAGAATTGCTCGTGTCCTTTCTACAATGATCCTGCACATGCCTACCTCTGCTGAGGTAAATAAGAATAAAATTTATCATCTCCTGGCACTGTGAATGACTCATGTTCACAAGATAACTGAATCACTGTTTCATGTCCTTCTCTCCAGCTGTTGAAAGCCAAAATGTGCCTACTTTACATCTGTTCTTAGTAACTTTTCAGCTTAAATATTACATTTTATACCAATTACTTTTATTCCAATCCTATTCCTTGAGGTTCAAGATGATCTAGGTATTAGTTATCTTTGAGATCTCAAATGTCCTTTTTATTGATCACACCTCCTAGCCCTGCATCCTGGCACTCTCATTAACTGGAGATAGCAGAGTTAAACTCTTTGAGGATTCTGTATAATAATACCTTTATTTGCAATCAATACTTGTCTTTCAGTGTTGCCAGCTTTCCTCACCTTATTACATGGCTCCTAAACCCTGTTACTATTAAGAATCTAATATTCTCTGTCCTAACTGATTGTTCCTCATCGCAGTCTGAACTTTTGGCAATAGCAGCTTAAAAATGTAATGAGACAAATCTTTAAGGAAAGTTAATATTTCTTACCCACTCAGTTGAACTGAACACGAGCATAAGGGGAAATACACAAAAATTGCAACACACAGGGAGACCAAACAAGCTCCTTTTCCTGTTTCTCAAAAAAACAAGGTTTAGTGTCCCAAAATTCACCAAATAAAGAGTGTGTTTAATAGAACTCCTCTACCTTTTTTCCTAGACTATCAATGGTTTTAAAAAATCTACAGCTAAAAACTTCAGTGAAGCTGAGATCTGTGATAAGCCCATTAGAGTTCATGACTAAGTCACCCTAATAAAGACTGGCTGAAACTCTTGCCCCACAGAGTATGAACAGGCTCTCACAGCAATGCTTCAGCTCACAATTCAGGAAAAAAGATGGTAGTGGCCTTGAAAATCACCCATAACCTGGTAAAAAATGCTGAAGAATTATAAGGAATCCTTCAGTCTGTATTGGGGAAAGATAAGTATCATTTTAATAATATATATTGATATTGCAGATATTTTAGCTTTTTAAAAGCCAAATTAATGTAGTATTTTGTAGTATTTTTGAATGTAGTATTTCTATTCTGAATGTTACAGTGCAATGCATTGGATCCAAAATTAAAATAACTGCAGTTAACTATGCAGACTTTATTCCTAGAAAAGACCAAAACCCAGTAGATGTTTTCACAGCTCTGTTCCAGCCTATTGCTAAACTGACTGGTGATCCTTGCACTCTTAACAAAGATGGTGTAGTTGCTAGTTTCATCTACAGAAGGAAATTTTCAATAAAAGTTTTTTCAGTAGAAAGGAGGAGAATTAAGTTATGCTGACTTGCTTAGACTTTTTTTTTGTGTCTAGTTTTGCTCAAAATCAACTATATTCAATATTCCTCAGTAAAGAAAAAAAAAACGTTTTTCTTAATAAGCCTTTAAAATATCTTATCTCAACAAAGCATCTAGATTTTCTTTAGTTTGTCTCCTTGCACATTTGTTCATCATGTTCTACATTCTAAACCTTAAGAAATTACTGAATGGAACCCCAAGAATCAACAGAATGTTTCAAACAATTCAAAATTTGTAAGTGGTCTTAAGATATGTTAGTTTATAGCCAAGCATTAAAATATGCATCAGGAAAGTTATTTTTTTCTTCATTTGACTCCAGTCTATAGCTACCATTTCCTAAAGTTTTCACCAAAACTGGTATGTATGGAACCCAAGATACTGGCGTTTTCTTCTTCTGAGTTTTTGATACTTTTCACAAGTCTATTTAGACCTGCTGTTTAATCAACATAAAATGCTTCCTGTGACACTTCTCTGAAGAGTTCTCACAATTCCACTTTAAAATTTTCCTTGTCTTTTCATGAATATTGGAGAAAAGGTGATTCCACACAGTATTTCTATTCCAAATGTAGACATGTCTTATTGCAAACGAGGAACAAAACTCTTAAAAATTAGTTTAAAGCCTATAAATATATGAAGAGCAGAAAACCTCAATACAGGGCACAAACAAAACTAAAGGAAAAACATTATGATATTTTTAAAGATGAAGTAAGTTAATTTTGCTCTGAAGAGTAAACTCTGCAGTAAAGTGATTTTTATTTAAAAGGAAAACTTTTAGATGTATTCAAAGAAGTACTCATTGCATAAAGTCAGAGGTTTGAGAGTAGCCATAAACTTTCTTGGCTTTAGCAAATTTATGATCCACTCCTGCTAACCAGGTACTGTAGCCAAAAGAGAAAACAGGACTAAGGTTCTACTTGGACAACCTGGTAAAATTGCTTTTCTTTCCACTGACTGTGCAACTTGTGTAGAATTACAGGCTAGAGCTTGAGGGTGCATTTTTTCTCAAGTTCTTTTAATAACGTAGAGATGAAACCTAGGTGGCACATCAGTGCTTGGCA